GGTCTTGGGGATGATCACTGCAGCAGCAGAATGGAATTGCAGCAGCAGTGGCTTTCCTATTTATAGGAGAGCAGAGAGGGAGATGAAGCGAAGTGGTGTCCATCTTCTTGTGCGTGAGAGAGGGAGGGGGAAATGTGGCTAGCTGTTATGTGCATGCATGCAATTGAAGATGGAGTAATGCAATAGAGATAAGAGAGGTGGGTCTAGGAAATAAATAGAAGAATGAATGTGTGCATATATTTCTGCATGAGGAGAAGGGAGAGGCGTCCATGGCAGAATGGGAGGAGGAAGAGAAGAGACACGGCTGTCCTTTAGTCATGCATTTGAGAGGATGTGGAACCTGATTGAGTAAAGGGGGGAATTAAGGGAGATGTGAGACAAGGTGATTAAGGGAAAAACTAATTGCTGCTGTTATTTTGGATGAGAGAGAGGAGGCACCATGGGAGAAGAGAGGAAGAGTGGAGAGTAGACATCCATCTGGTTGTGCGTGAGGGAGAGGAGAGGAGAGGAAACATTGCTGTAAAGGGATGCTATCAAGAGAGGATTAAAGAGAAATTTAAGAGAGGCATGCAAGGCCAGGGAGTTAAGAGAGTAGGCATTAGACGAGGCTATTTTTGCATGAGAGGTAGAGGAGAATGCGGTATAGGGAGGGAATATGCTGGCTGCTACTCATCTTTAACTTGCACTATTCAAAAGCGAAATTGAAGGGAGTTATGGTGCTGATTCCATGCATGATCAGAGAGGAGGTGTAACACCCTGGTGTTAAGCATGCATTTGGCATTGGTATTACACGAGCACAAGCATCATTGATCATTCATGAGCATGAGCATCTCAAATTGTATCTCTTTGATTGCTTATATTACATGGGTTGTCACTAAATGCTTTACATATGCTTGGGTTTACATGTGACCAATGTATAAAATGCTTGTGGGACCTTTGGGGTGCCCTAAACATGTTTATAATATCATATATAACAACTTTGGTATTCATGACTTGGACCAATTTGGCCTCTATGTCATGGTTATAGTGTAACTTACCATTTTCAAGTTGTATGTTTGACCTAAGTTGAACTATAGCATAAATTGCTTACATGGCAGTGCACCCTTAAGCAAAGTTGTAGTACTTGACTAGAGTAACAACTTTTATTTTTGGGTCAAGGCCTAATTCGGTAAGTAGCATGCTCAAAAACAGCTCTCAAGTAGCAATAAAATATTGTTCTAGCACTTGAAAAATTTTCTAAGTCTAGAATTGGTTTACAGTTTGAATGTACCTGTGTTTGACGCACTATAGCTCATTAACTAGGACGATCTAGACCAAACTCATTTAAACAAAGTTAGAGTACTCATGTAGCTCTACAACTTTGATTCTTACAGTTTTTGCTAAATTGCCACGGATTTGGAGTTATTTGATTGCAAACTCATGCTGTCAGTCAGGCCAAGGGGGGAACTGAATCGACTGACCTTATTCAAACCGACGTCGGTCGTGGCCGACCGCGCGCAGTGCATGCCCACCGCGTGGTGCTCGTATGCCGCCGTTGGCCCTGTGACGCCGTGCTGAAGTAGAGGAACCCAGCAACGTGCTACTGCTGCTGCTCCCATTTCATATCTCGCTTGCTGCCCTGTTCTCCACGCCGTACTGAAGCGACCGCGCTCGTCATTGCTGCCACCGTGCTCCAACCGTTTGCATGCCATCATTGCTGCACCACCATCTAATTCAGCTCGCCAGCAGCTTCACCATAGTCACCTCTTCCACCCTGACCCGCTTGTCCCACTTTTTGAGCATTGGTAAGGGCGTATTTTGCATCGTTGTCACCACGATCTCGTCGGAGCGCCGCCGTGCGCTCGGCTTACTGTGGTCACACCATTCCACTACACCTCCTATCCTCCTATTCTCTGATCTAGAGTCTCCTTGTGCTTAGGTAGGAACTAGGTTAGATGCTACTGCTTGGTCTTGCGAGAACGCGCCGCCGCTTCCACCGCGGCCGCCATGGTCGCCGTGGCACTCGAGCTCGCCATTGCCGAGCTGACCCATCACCTCCCTTCTCTTTCACGCGCATTAGGTTGAGTAAGCCTGGACCTAGCAGATGGCATGATGGAGACCCGCCTCTTGCTGTCTTCTAGCCAGAACACCAAGAGCACCACCGTGCTCTGTGCACCGCCGCCGCGGCATACACGTGGTCGGAGCTCACCGCTGCCTCACCGGAACCTTAACCACCCGAGATAGCTTTGCTAGGATTCCACGAAGCCGTAGCGCACCTCACCGGAGCCCGTGATGGCCGGAGAGCACCGGCGTATCGCGGCGCCGCCTTCGTCGTCCGCCATTGCCACCGGTGAGGGTGCTCTAGTGCACCGCCGGTCCAACGAGGGGCACCACTGGGTGCGGGGGAGTGCAACCGTGGTGACGCTACCGCCAGAGACCTCATCGCCGGTGAGCTATCGCCGGTCAAACGCCGCCTCTGTTCTAGTTCGCTGATGCGTGGGTCCTGCTGACCAGCGGGCCCCATCTGTCAGTCACTGTGCTTGCTTTGATTTTCTTAGTTTTCATAGATTTGAATACCAACTTCAAAAATTCATATCTAGAGCTAGGAGTGTCCAAATGGAGTGAACCAAATTTTTTTAGATTCATCATGAAGTGTAGTATTTGATAAAAATATGAAACTTACTGTTTGGGATGTTTTTCTAGGAAAATTAAATGGAGCTAGATAAGTGCTTTTAAATTGTTTGCAATCTTGTAAAATGCATAACTTGAGCTAGAAAAGTGATAAAATTGTGATTCCAATTTTACTAATCTTATGTTGACTTGCTCTAGTTAGGAAAAATGTGGAACTTGCAGTAAACTTGATTGGAGTAGAGTCTTGCTATTTATCTTTTAATAAATGGTGTTTTCTGAGGAAATTCATAAGGATAAAAATAAGTAACATATTGCCATGCAAATTTTTGTACAGTGTTAGTGGGTTTTAGGAAAGCTAAGAAAAATATGAACTCTATTGTTTGACACTTTTCAATAGGGACAACTATTTTCACTAAAATCGGCCCTTATAACTTGTTATTTATGTGGAGGGTGCTGTACTTATCCAAATGGCATGAAATTTGTATAGTAGACTATGAGGATCATATATGAATCACTGTAATTTTTTCAAAAGTTATTGTGCACTTTTGATATATTTTTATTATTTCACCTTAGTGTCCAAATAAATTAATAAAGGCATTTAAATAATTTATTTGGGCTTGATCATCATATTTTCTAGAGGGTGTATGATGCCTATGAACTGTTGGTACCTTTGGTTGTGCCCAATTTTGATTTCTTATATGCAGTAAAATATTATGGCTTTAAAATTCAATTATAGAAGTTGTTCTGGACAAATTCTGTTTCTAGGTGTTTTGCATAGGTAAAATGTAATTTTCTGTAAAAATGGTTAATAACAAAGTTGTAGGGAATTTCTTTATCTAGCTTGTGTCAAAGTTTCAGGGCAATAGGCCAAGTAGTTTGAGAGTTATAGCTGTTAAAAGTTCTCTTCCGAAATGCTTACTCTCTAGAATTTCTGAAGAGACCTAGGAAGTTTACCTATTTTGGCTAGGATAGTTGTTGAATCAGCTTTTGGTGATTAAATGAAAGTTGTAGGCAATTTTATAAGATTTCTAGAAAATCTACGATCATAGCATTTGGTTGAGTAGAACTCCAATTATGGTCTAAACTTGTAGCTATTGTGTTATGGTCCAGAAATGGACTTAGTGTGGATTCTTGAAATTTCTAGAGAAGAGATATGCACCTACTCAGTAAATAAGAATTTAACCTTGTTACCATCCTAATGACCTAATATGATAGTCATGATTTAACCATGCACATTATCATGACATATCATCCATGACCCTTCTTATGCATTCATGATTCTCACTTTTTGCATATGCATGCAATAGGTGCGACGGAAGAAATCACCGTGTTGGAGTACGAAGCCGATCCCCAGGAAGAGCATCAGGAAGTGCAGCAATAGGAGGTCCCAGGAGAAGGCCAACCCGATGGTGAACAGTTGCCCGAGTGCCCAGATCATCAGCCCTCAACCTTTGTGAAAGGCAAGCCTCGGAGCATTTTAAGCCTCCTATGTTTCGAACTATAAACTTGAGTCCTTTTATGTTAATGCATTAAGTACTAGGAGTTGATTGGAACCACTTGCTGCATATATCTTCCTTGTCCATATATATATATATATATATATATATATATATATATTTGGGTCCGGACATAGAATTGGGTATTCTGTGGCCAGCCATAGAAAGGTACATCCGACGCACCCGAGGCGCGACAACGCAGCGGACGTGCGCGGGGTTCCTGGTCCTCCCGGGCTCCTGGCTCCCGCGGCTCCCAATCCGCATGGCTCGCCCAGTTACGGGAGCTGCGCATCACACTGACGTTATGAGCCAGCCGATAGAACAAGAGCCGACAGAATCAATGCGCCAAAGACGTAAATAAATGATGATCCCAAATCAGCGCTACTGGAAGGCTTTGTCCAGTAACTTGTACTATTGTATACGAGAAAGGGTGCAAGCGAGTATATACGACATGTGTGGTAACTCGTAATATTGTATACGAGAAAGGGTGCAAGCGATACACATGCAAGCTATGTACGGATTATATACACGAGATATGTGGTAACTCTAATATTATATATGAGAAAGGGTGCAGTCCATACTAAGTATAAAAAAATTCTAGTAACCAATAACAAAAATCTATACTAAGTATAAAAAAAAATATAGTAACCAGTAACAAAAATATACTGTATGTATCGTGTAGATCTCGCGCAGTTAGCGCCTGCAGTTCACAAATACGTCATTTACGCAAAAGGCACTAGTGCAGCGGCCACTCCGGCATTTATTCTCTTTGTGCTAAATTATTGGTGCTAACTTCTCGCGTGTCTGAATGCTGCTGTAATTGGATGGACGGGGCGTGACTAGACATCATTCTGTTTTCAGTGCTGACGATTCAGGTTCCACGAGAGTCTCGTAATGCCGCCGACCCATGGATCACCCACTCCGTCGTCCTCTGCGGCCGGAGAGGCATCGACATCGTCTGTGCTGACTCCAGTTCAGCCTGTGGCACCGGCGTCGGTGCCGGTAGCAAATCCTGCAAGCCTTGCTGAAGTGACTCCGCTACGGACTGTCTCTCCAACGACGATGGTGACGCCTGATCAGCAGAAGACGTACATGCATGTGAGTTAACTTGTATTAGCGTTATTCAAAATACTGGCCTCTATGGTTTAACTTGTAACTTGTTGTTCAATGTGAATCAGGATCCCTTGTTGATAGAAGAAATTGTGCCCAATGAAGAGCTGCGTTTTGAGAGCAGAGATGAAGCAGAGGAGTTTTACAAGTTCTATGCAAGTAAGGCAGGATTCGACGTCGCGATAAACCAAGACTAGGAAGACGGTTTTGGAGATGAGTTGCAATAAACAAGGGCACTGGGATTATTATAAGCCTGGTGAGGAGAGAGTTCGAGAAAAAATGTCAATGAGGTGTGAATGCAAGGCATTTGTGAAGGCTAAATGGATCCAGAAGAAGGGATATTGGTTTTTTGAGAGGATACGGTTGGAACACACTCACCCATTGCATCCATCGCCGAGCTTAACACAATATATGAAGTCACACAAAAACCAGGACCCGACAATCATGGGGATTGTTGATCAGATGCATAGGTGTGATGTTCCCCTGAACGCAACAGTAAATGTGTTGTCAGACATATATGGCGGTCGCCAAAACTTCACATTCACTGAGAGAGACCTGAAAAACAGGTAATGTATACAATAATGTATAACCAAATGATATTAATTGTCAAATCAGTAATGGGAGTTGCGTGATGTTACAATTTCAGGAAAGCTGCAGTGGCCAAGGCAGAGAGGGAAAATGATATTCCCAAGTTGCTCGAGTTTTTCAAGGAGATGAAGGCCCATAATGAATATTTCTACTATGATTTGCAGGTGGACAGTGAGAACATTGTCAAGAATGTGTTCTGGAGTCATGCAAGCCAACGTGCAGAATATAGAGATTTTGGAGATGTCGTTACATTCGACACCACATACAAAACTAATATGTATAACATGCCAGTAGCTATGTTTGTCGGTTCGAACCATCAACTACAAAATGTCGTGTTTGGGCAAGCACTTTTGCAGGATGAGCAAGCTGATACATTTGAGTGGTTGTTTCAAGCATTCCAAGACTGCATGTTAGGGAGTCGAGATCCTAGATGTATACTTACAGGTGAGAAGATGACCCTTGCAATTAAATGTATTGTTGCTGAAATACATGTAGGTTAATGTTTGGTAACGTTATTACTTTTCTTGTTTCTGGTACAGACCAGGATAGCGCGATGGCTGCCGCAATCAAGAGGGTGTTTAAAAAAACACAACATAGGTTGTGCCGTTGGCACATGCTGAAGAAGTATCGAAATGAGCTTAAGAAATTGTATAAGTTGCATGAGGGTCTGAAGATAAAGTTGCTAACAGTAATCAATCACCCACTTACGCATATCGAGTTCGAGGCAGCCTGGAATGAGCTGGTCGATGAGTATGGCATACGGGAAGATGAAACTATCAAGGGTCTTTGGGATAGTAGGAAGTTGTGGGTTGCAGCTTACTTCAAACCCTTGTATTGTGGAAGGATGACGTCTACACAAAGGAGTGAAAGCGTGAATAGGATGCTCAAGAGCAGGCATTTCACAGGCCACATGACATGCATGAGCAAATTTGCCCGCAAGATACTTGAGTTCATTCAACACACAAATCACACGGCGGCAGGAGAAACCCATTGGTCACAGGTAATATCGTAAGTTTTTGGTATAACATAATTAATTAGTTGCAAAATGTGTTGTGTACAAATGCTTTGCAATTACTAGAAAGGTTTATCTGCTGCTTGTGTTAGCTAAATTTTTTAGGTGATTGTGTTTGAAATAGGCTGATAACTTTCGATTGACGTTGCAACACTTCGACATCCATTTGAGCAGGGTGTACACACGGGCTGTCTACAAAAAGTATAGAGATACTTATATATACAGTACTGCATTCCGTATTGACCCAGATGCAGACAAGGCTGATAGTTTCCTAGTGACGCACACAAATCAGTCGTGGAAATATTCATGGTTTCAACATTCTTTCAAAGTGGAGGCTAATGTGGAAGAAGGTAGATACACATGCGAGTGCAAGACATGGGAGCATACAGGTGAGTGAGTTTGGGAAAAGGTCACGTCTTTCATTTCTCGTGATTATATTATCTAAGTAAAGGTGTTAATGATTAGTGCATGTTTGATTCTTTCAGGCTTGTTCTGCGCCCATCTTATTAAAGTTTTCACCTACCTGCAAATTGAAAATATACCTTCGAAATACATAATGAAGAGATACACCAGAGATGCGAGGATGATGGTAACTTGGGACAGGCATGACATAGCTAATATGGGAACAGATTGTGAAGACGAGAGGTACGCAACAAGAAAGTTGGTAGATTTAGCAATGATGGCCGTAAGGGCGCTCTGCAAAACAAGTATTGGGGTTGAGAGAGGAAGCAAGGATCTGCAAGCATTGGCTGAGTGGGGTGAATCAGTTGCGGTAGGTACTGGACCATCGCAGATGGGGAATCTTAGAAACGAAGAAAATGTGTCAGATGGAATAAGAGGACCTGAAGTTCCTGCAGTCGATGAAGTAGTGGCAAATGATACTGAAGAGGATCCTCATTCTCCTGCAATTAGAAAAGACACGCTAATTTCGGAATGTGCGCCAAAGGGTGCTAGTACAAAGGGGAGGAAGCGCAAAGGGAAACAGATAGTCCGAGTTGAGACTTCTAACAAGAAAGCAACGGGGGTACGGAATTGTGGCCATTGTGGATTGAAAGGTCATTATAGTACAAGTTGTGAAATAAACCTAGACAATGAATGGAAGAAAAGTGGTTCCAGTGGGAGTTTGCGTGGCAAGATGGGGAAGAAGAGGGGGAGACCACCCACAAAAAGGCAACTAGAGGAGGAGTTTGATGATGTTGCATGAGGCGGATGGATGAAATGGGAAGAATAATAGTGAGGGCAACTTCAGCTTGAGATAACACCAGACAAGTAGTGGTAACATTAATGATACTCTGGACTCGTGGTTGCAATTATCTAGTGAGGTCTGATGTACTTGTACCAGAACCCAGCATTGGTTACTGGAATATATGGCTTACTAGAAGAAAAATTAAATAATGGCTATAAGCGCAAAACCAGTATAGTAGAGACGTAGGTTACAATAGACAGCTGCTTTCATACTAGATTTGCGTAACAGATATAACGATTTACTCAAATTTGGTTACCACACACAGTGACCATAAGTCAAAAATAAGCATTTGTTTGGTTTGTTAGATGACAGGGGATAGGTTTGGACGAACCTGGTTTTTGAGGTGTTTGGATCTGGGACTTGAAAAATAGAGTGCTTGTAGACGAGCATATTCTCCGTAAATGCAGGTCAAATCCGTCCTTGGAAACGAAGAAATCGATCCATCCCTTTTCAACAGAGTTCCTTTCCATCTTCGGATCACTCGTCTTCCTCTCGCTGCATGCCGCGCCCGGGCTCGGCCCCTCCGGACATTTTAGGCTGGGCAACCCATGATTGAGCTGCTGTCATCCCTTCCTGTAGATCAAGTATTCTCAGAGATGGTCACGCCTGACTAGATCAAGAAAAAAACAAAAAAAAAGGTGTACAGTAAAACTACAGGAACATTGAAAGGGGATCGGATTTAAAAAAACTGTGATGGTCGGGTGCTACCAAGTTGAATGGGGATTGAGCGGGGATGGATGAGATGCAGTAATCAAATAAACTGTGATTTAAAGGGGATTCAACAGGGATGGATGAGATGCAGGCACGAAAGACCTCAGGGATTGGCTCAGCGCTGGAGAGTACCTTGGCAATCTGGATGGAGATGGTTGGGTCGCCGCTGCACTGCACAGTACGCTTGCGCTGGAGACCTTCGTGTAGGGATGTGGCAGGGCTGCGGAGAGCGGGAGCGAAGCGGTGAGTGTGCGGCGGCGCGTGCGGAGGAAGATGAGTGCCATGTGGGGAAAAAAAATGGTCGTGCCTGAGAGATAAGACCGTGCGTGAGTGCCAGACACATCGGCCATAGAGAGAAAATATGGACTACGACTATCTTCAGGAACTTCTGTAGGGAATATTTACGAGAATTTTGTATAATTCATACTGCTCTGGCCGTAACTCACAATAATATTTACGAATTCGGTGCTACGAAGATATGGATTTACGAGATTAGTTTAACAATTGGTAAACCACAAAATTGACAAAGTTGAATATCCAAATAAAAATAGTAGATTTCAACACAAAGTGACCATAGTATAGGTTCAGAGTACAAATAAATATGTCACACAATGAATCCCGTATAAGAAGTGAAACTATGAAAACAAGGTCTCAAATTTGAGTATGGTAAATTGGCTCGTCGATGCCCAACAGTAGCGGTGAAGTAAAAACACAGTATCTGAGGCATCCATATTTATTCTGGCATCCCAAAGGAGAATGGTCCGAACGTGATGTTCATCGACGTGGCTTGAGTGCTTCTAGTCCAGCAGGAAGCTTGTCAATAGTGTTGATTTGGTGATAGATGGCGTAGTAGAGAAGCTGATCTCTATACATTGCCGCATTTTCCTGGTTTTGCAGTGAAGGAGATCAGCAACATTGCAACACAGAGGCAGAGTCTTGGATGACAAAGTAAGTACAATGTTAGGACGTACCGTGAGGATTGGAAGATGGAAAGATTCACCATTCCATAACTCCATGAATTTGATGGCAAAGAATCCACTGTCGGTGGCATTGCGCTGCAGCGGGACAGGTAGGATGGGTCGCCTGAATCGAGTAAACGACTTAAACTTACCATCTGTGGCCTCCTGGAACAGAAGATTGAGCCTTGGAATAATTCTGTTTCCCACAACTTCATGGTAAAGCCTGTGGTCATCAGGACTAGAATCGAGTATATCTATTCGGTCATGTATAAGGTTGATGCAGTAAACAGTATAGTGGTCCTCCTCCATAATCGGCAAAAAGAACTGCCAATTCCCAAAAAGATATTAGTAAGGAAACTGTAATTAATATACATTTCATGGAATGAGAAGTAATACTTACTAGCTTAACATTAGTTGTGTCAACAGCAGCAATGTCACTCTCTAGAATTTCAAGGGCATTATGAAACTCCCACTCTTCGAATTCCTCCTCATCCTCCATATTGACGTATTCCTAGAAAGACAGCTGAGACATATTAGTAATAAGCTAAAATTTTGTTGGCACGGTTGTTATGGTGTTCTTTGTGTGGACTCACCCCAATCCGGTGGGATAGGAACACCCTGTAGCCACCACCATCAGGCATGCGGACTGATTCGTCATGGCTCAAGCATTGAACAAGGTAGGACATAAATTTGCTCGAAAGCTCCTGATCATCAGGGAAGGAATCTAATATTTCATTGCCAGTGAATTCTATGAACCCTGTGCTAATGAAAACCTCACTGGTATGGGAAAAAGGTAGTCGTCAGTAACTTGTAGGATGATACAAAATTTGAGAAGGGGTCGTAAGCCGTACTTTAAACTCTTGAGACTAGGGAGAAACTTCTTCCTCACAGCTAGTGCCTTTGACATTGGTACTCGTGTTCGCATTGGATCGCCTTTAAATGGCGACACATACTTGGATGGGCGTCTTGTAAGGCGTTGTGGTTTTGGATAAACAGCAGCAGGTAGGAGGGGCTCATCATCAATGGTGCTATCAGGTCGTAGAACCTGTGCTCATCCCCAAACAGTAAAATTGTAGTAAGCAGCTTGATAAAAATACAATAAATGGGGAATGAACGTGTGGAAGGCACCTCATTAGGAAGCTGATGTTGGGTCTGTGTAAGCACAGCAGGCTCTGATGTCACCGTGTCGGTTGTTGTAGTTTGTGGGTGGGCAGCAGGTAGGTGGGGTTCATCGACAATGGTGTGATCAAGTCTTAGAATCTGTGCTCATCCCCAAATAGTAAAATTGTAGTAAGCATCTTGATAAAATTACAATAAAGGGGGGAATGAACGTGTGGAAGGCACGTCATCAGGAAGTTGATGTTGGGTCTGAGTAAGCACAGCAGCCTCTGATGTCAACGTGTCAGTTGTTGTAGTTTGTGGGTGGGCAGTAGGTATAACAGATGCACTAATGAGGTCAACTAGAGAATCCAGGGATGAGGTTCCTCCATGAACATTGACGTTGGGGCCTGCAGCTGATATAAGTAAGTATTATGATGATATTTGATCAAACAAATTTAAGAAAACACATACTGCCAATCTGTGCTGCTTGTCCAGTGCCTCCTTGGTCCGTCGCCTGATCCAGAATTGGAGGAACAACATCACCAATTGTCACATCCGTGTGAACCTGCATAAACAAAAATCACATGTTTATTGACTGACTAAAGTTGTATAGTAAATAGTATAGCTATATACTGAATCTTAATGTGATTGGACATATGGTAACTAGAGATCTAACCGGTGAGTGTTCATGATCCAATTCCTGTTCTGACTCGGCATTCGCTGTGGCATCAGTGGGCTGTGGTGCCGCTGCCTTCGTGGGACTGTTCTGTTGCAGTGGCACATGTGCCTCCTGGTGTATGTGTTGGTTAGTGACATATCCTGAAACAAAAAAAATGTAAATTAGTGGAGACATAACTGCAGTTGCATGTTTCATGAGGATCTGCAACAGACATTTACCAATACAATTAGCAACAGATATCTGATTTCGCCTACCTTCAGACTGATTTGGCACCTCGGTTACATGTTCAGACTGTACGCTATCTCCGTTATGGATATCATGCATGTCAAGATCGTTGGCATCGGCTTCATACATGAAACAATAAATAGGGTCAGATTAACTTTTTTTTTTGAACAAAAGAGTCAGTAGTGGGTAGATCTGTGGACCTGCACTAGGAGCGGTTGGTTGAGCCTGGTGATCTATGCTGTTATTCTCACAACTCTGGTTCTCCAAAATTGACCGCACCTTTGCAACGAGCTGTTCATGTGAAGCTTGTAGCATTAGTTGTCCCCTGTTTAAAAAAGTTGTTGCCTTTTTCGATTTGATATCAAATTCTGCCAAAGCTTGCACTAACAGCTTCCTCTTTGGCTTAGCAACCGTCACATTTACTACTCCACCTAGTTCTGAAAGAATGCTAGGGAACTGTATATTAGTCACAGGTTGTATGTTTGCTGGCTTTTCTGGAATAGAATGATGAGGCATGTAGTAAACCGTATCATTGATGTCCCTAAGCTGCACACACAAAATGGAAATAAGAAAGTGGCAGTAAATAGGCATTGACACAGAGGACTGCGTTTAAAAATGGGGGACAATAGTTACTGTGTCTCACCGGTAATCGTCCAAATGTGACCTTTCCTTGGTCGTCCTTTGTCTTGTCAGCAGCAATTATTTGTTTAATCAAATCTTGATTAAAGTACTTGGCACGGGGAATATCCTTGTGATTGATCTGGTGGTTGCAGCGTAAGTTATCCAAATAAACTATCTACACCGAGAAAAATGGAAATATGGGAGAATAAGTTTACTATAATACATGTGGGTACCTAATCAACTATCATAATATTTGAAGGCATATTATGTATGATAAATGGGAAACTGACCAACAGAAAAATCGCGCATCCTGTAATTGAAGGCGAAACTTTTGTTGTTCTATCAAGTCGCCACGTGCGTGCAGCATCTCGGATTTCATCAGTAACAGCCTTGCACCAGTTCATAGTGGGTAGTCGAGACAAATCCCTAGCCAAATAAACATCTTTCGCCCTGATGTTGTTGTCCGAGGAAGGAAACAACAGCTTGTTAGAAGCGATCATGAAGAAAATTTTAATGCACATGTCGTCGTCAAGCATCCTAGAGTCTAACTCAATGTCGGCCTCCCAGATCTCTTGCAGATACTTGGTGTGCACATCATCATCATCTTGTAAACCAATAAAATCCTTGAAAGCAGACAGGGCCTTGCATGCTTCCTGGTTTGTGTGTAGATATAATTCTTCGCCACTGTCTGGAATGCCAAACGCTTGCTTAACAGCAAAAGGGGTGATATGTATAACCCTATCTTTACCAAGAACCAATACCATAGTATCAGGGTCTAGCCTGTCATATAAATACTTCAACATTTCTCTGCTAACTAGCTTGTCTGTTCGGATCTGGAGGAGGCCACCAAAATTCATATTATTGATTCTGGTACGCTGGCTCATGGTGAGGAGATCAATAAATGAGTTGAAAATTGTAGGTGCACATCGAACAGTGGGTGCTTGAAAATATTTGGTAACCTTTTGCTGTTTAGGCTGTAGAAAGGAGACATAGGACTTGTGTAATTGTTCAAATTAAGTGCTAATTAATAAGAAAGAGTGAAAAGAAGGAACCATTATGGTAAGAATGTAATGGGATACTGTTTGGGAAAAGGTACATCCATATGAACAAAATAGCAAAAAAATATAGTACACAGGACAAACAAAAAATAATAATTTAGTCGCAACAGTATGCCTTCATAGGTGGTTCCGTGCGGGGGGCATTTTTCTTCTGCAGTTTTCCATCTCTACGTGCATTGACAACAACATTTGTAGTACGGCGTTGATTATTGTTCATTACCGGGTGCCTAGTTGGGGGTTGCATGAAGTCGTCATCATCGTCGTCCTCCTCTGAACGAGGGCGTGCCGATGGTCCTAGACAATGTGGTGGCTGCTGATGAACTGGTTGAGGTCGTAGTGTCTGAGATACACCAATGATGTCACTTATATCAATGTTGAAATCCTCCTGTGTGGTGTGCAGGGTGAATGATTTCAATCTCCCCTGAACAAGTTTAGGAGGCCTCATTTCCTATGAAAGAATCAACAGTAAGCCATGTGGTAAGCATATCTACGACAATAGTATGAATACGTTGCAGTAATAAATATTTACGAGAATTTGTATTGAGAAATTTTTACAAGATTTTGCACTAAGAATAGTTACGAGAACTTACGGTAAGATTTACGGGAAATATTTTGCACTGAGTCACATATTTGATAGCGTAAGAAATATAACTATAGACTGATTTAAAAAATAAAAAATATGATAAATAATTAACAAGAAACATGTAGCTTATTAAAAAATGTTTCCAGGTTATAATATGATTAAAAAATACAGTATAAAATACTACTAAATCCCACAGGAAACTTAAACAGTGGTACATATAACAGAAAAAAAAATCTTGATAAACTAACAACTCTAGTATTCTGTAAGACCGAACTTAATTAACACATGGAAACAATAAAACAAAGCAAGTATTCTCAGAGATGGTCACGCCTGACTAGATCAAGAAAAAAACAAAAAAAAAGGTGTACAGTGAAACTACAGGAACATTGAAAGGGGATCGGATTTAAAAAAACTGTGATGGTCGGGTGCTACCAAGTTGAATGGGGATTGAGCGGGGATGGATGAGATGCAGTAATCAAATAAACTGTGATTTAAAGGGGATTTAACAGGGATGGATGAGATGCAGGCACGAAAGACCTCAGGGATTGGCTCAGCGCTGGAGAGTACCTTGGCAATATGGATGGAGATGGTTGAGTCGCCGCTGCACTGCACAGTACGCTTGCACCGGCTGCATGTAACTCGATTGGGTCCAGCGAGGTGATTTTGTAGCTGGACCTATGCGGGACATAATACCCAGACGTAATTTTGGGGATCTTGGTTCAGCTCTTCTTTTCAACGGAAAGGATTCGGGGATGGGCATAGCGTCGGGGCGGTGATTTTGGCGGTGTACACAGTAGCTGCGGCAATCAGGGGATAGGGGAGCGCGGATGTAGCATCGGAGGCGACGATTTTTGCGGCGAAGGCGGAGCTGCGGCAAGAGGAGGGTGGGATCCGGCTGGATTGGGAGCCGATGAAAGAGCCCAGGTGAGGATAAACAATAATCGGCTAATCTGAGTCTGAGCGGATCTAAAAGCCGAGCTGGAAAAACCGGTCGTCGGTGGGTTTGGGGGTGCGCTGTTGGGTCCGAACATAGAATTGGGTATTCTGTGGCCAGCCATAGAAAAGTACATCTATATGTGCTTAGCCATAGAAAAGTATATATATATATATATATATATATATATATATATATATATATATATATATATATATATATATATATATAGGTTCAGGATCAAATATGTGCTTAGCCATGCTTAGTCGGTAGAAGCCAGGTGGTTACCCGTCACCTGCATGATATAGGCGGATAATTAATCACAGTTGGCTATATGTGCTAGCGTGGAATATAACCATGTGTTAATGAATAATGGAGACCAGGCGGAATCATGATAAAGAAGCAACAAGGCATGGAGGTCTTGGGTGCCTATTTATCCCTGTTTTTGTCGGTTAAGGACCAATTCGTTGTACGTCCTCATGTCATGTTGAACGCATGCCTAGTACTTAGTTGGCCGGATCCGATGATACGACCGTGAAGCCGAGTAGCTCAATTTAGGCTGGGCCCCGATAAGTGAAAGTGTGCACACTAGAGGCAGTAAGGATGTGTGGAGAGCCAATGGCGTGAGTCCAAGGGCGGAACCGGGTCCTGATCTTCCTAGTAGATTGGTAGAATCTCTGAGGGTGCAGCACTGATCGGACCCATAGTTAGTCCTAAATTGTACCAAAGGTGACCTGAGGCTACCTTCATGGGGTGTGCCTCGGTTTGTGTTAGGAATAATTTCCCTAGCTGGGTAGAAATCAATTCGAATCGTTGTCTCTCCCAAATAGTGAGAACTTGACTGAGGAATGGCAACGTAGAAGCACTAATTGAAACTTGATGGTTATGATGATGCTCAAATTACTCTTATACCGGATATGGTTACTAATGCTTGTTAGCTTAATCAAGTGATTGCTCTAGTACAGGTGCTAATCTAGAGATGCTTAATTGAATAGGTATCCAAATTGATGCTAGAGGTACTAAATCTCCAAGTTATATTACTTAAGCTTTTATGCAAAATGTTGTCAAGCTAACTCCACCTCTTAAAGCCATGCATACTCCTTGGTGTCTTATTATTTTGGTTTATGACGGGTAAATCTAGCTGAGTACATTCTCGTACTCAGTGTTTATTCCCATTTGTTGCAGATGACGTGATGTACCATGGTTATTGCAAGCACTGCATAACTCCTGCTGTTGATGGAGAGTAAGACCAAGGGCATGGTCATTCTATATCATCTCCTCTATGTGCTTTTGTTGGAGATGATCCTAAACTAGCTATGTATTTGAACTATCGTGATGTTGCTTCCGCTACTTCTAAATTTGAGTTGTAATAACACTGTTGAAACTCCGATGTATGAGAACTATTTGTGAACCTGTTGTAACATGTGACTGGTTGTGTTGAATCATGTATGATCTTGGTTTGTACGTTGGTTTGTTTGAGATCCCCTATGATTTCATCGAACTACCGGGTTTATATGGGTTTAAGTATGACGGTTTGATCACTTCGGTGATTGCTATTGTACTTGTGCTCTTATAAATTGGACGGTTCTGTTACAGGAGGTGGCGCATGTTTTCACAGGAGAAAGAGAGAGGGCTCGACCAAGGAGTGGGAGAAGGAGAGAATGGTGTTGGGTTGTGTTGTGCTTGACCCAAAACATGAGGAAGAGTCCATTAGCGAAAAAGAGCAAGTGGGGCTGCTATTATTCATGATAGAAAGAGAGAGTGGGTCGGCATAACCCAAATTGAGATGAATTTGGGTTAGAAAACAAAACAACAAAGAAAAAGAAAGAACAAAGATCAAACTTTATACCAAATTGAGATTGGTTTGGAGTATGGTAAAAGAATGGAAGAGGAAGGAAAGATTAGACATGTGGTGACTAGGAGTAGATACGATGATGTTTGGGTTGGGATTTTGGAAAACAAGTTTGAGATCAAACCCTAAGCGCATTTGGAAACATTGAAATTCATTTTCAACCATAAGACATTATGCAACGGCAAGAAATGCAACATACAGTTAAATTGTATTCCCAAAATTTTTAGAAACTCACGTTTTTCCACTATCTAAAATGTCAATAACTTAACTGAAGTTGGAAAATTTTAGAAAATAGTGAAATCTTTTATTTTGTTTTTAGAGTTTTCTAGTCACATCCCAAAACATGAATTTTGGGGTGTGACAATCACACACACACTCCATGCACACACAGCACTAGGTACGTTTAGGAAAATACTAGCTACACCCGGTTAGTGTACATAGAAGGCTATAAATCCACTTTTCTAGCTTAGAAAAATTCCCAGAAAATTTGTAAATAAACTAGATGTATTAGGGAATATAATCATATAGTTTACACCTATTTTCATGCACCAGAAAATACATGTAAAATTCCATCTAGTTAATTAGCTATAGAATAAACTTATAAAATACATAACTTTTGCATCCTATCTCCTTTTTAGGTGAAACCACTTCTAAAATTCATCTAAAATCTAGCACTATGCATTCATTCTGGTACCACCATATTGTTCTATGTTTGCTTTTCCTCTTTTATTTTGTGTTCGGCGGTAGTCTTATTCAATAGCTACGCCGACAGACGACGGTGACTACTAGGAGAGCGAAGACCCCGACTATGAGAACGTGCCAGAAGTAGCCAACAGCGAAGGCAAGTCCTACCTCCCCCCTCCCTCTACCATCTTGCTTAACTATCACTAAACGAATAACTTGCTTAATTATTATCCTGGATTATGAGCTCGGTTATGGTGAAATCATTAATGTTGAATTAAGATAAATGGTTATCTTGTAGATTTGTGAGCTCCACAATATAGATGAATTTAGGGATAATAATTAATGGAACTTAAAACTTGGTAAACCTAAAACTAAACACTGACAGGGGATGAGCGGGGATAGCTTATGCGGGAGAAGTTATCTTGGCGGGGATGCCAAGATAGGATTCCTGGGAGATGCTCGCCTCGGTCATATAAGGACCGGTTCGTAGTCCCTCTCGCCTAGTAAGATGTTACGTACAGCCACATGTCTGTATGGGTAGACTTGATCTCATACCCTGTTAGATAGAAGTATAATATCTACTAGGAGGCTAGTGTTGGCAGCAGAATATCAGGAGCCAACACGGATGCTATGTGATCTTCCGTGGTCCGGTTGGCGTGATTGCTATGTGATCTTACATGTTAAGCCCCTTGACCTTGGCCGCATTCGAGCCCATTTTTATTATTGTTTATTTTGATGATTTGGTATTATCGGCACTATTATGTTGGGATGATGTGGTATCGTTCAAGATATATGAAGGGATGATGTGGTATCATCTGGGATTATGAGATGGGACGATAAGGTATCCTCCCATGTTTAGTGTGTTTTCCAACCCCTGAGAAGCCGCAGTAGAGTTATATGGAAGTCTAGGGTATCACCCAAGCTGGTACGGGGTCTCGTTCGGCCTATTTCAACCACTGATCATGGAAGGGATTGTGCCTATCATGTGGGGAAATGTGTACACCTCTGTAGAGTTATTTCAATCTATTCGAATAGCCACGTCCTTGGAATGGGCAAATGCTAGGATGGGATACTATGATTAGCTTACTTTTTTGTGTAATGAAACTGGTAACTTAACTTGACTCTAACTCGGGGACTAGTTGGAATGGTAATAGTCCACTAGAACCCAACCCTTAATTATAACCACCACCACGCCTCTATTTCCACCCTATGGTTAGGGCTTGCTAAGTACGTAAGTACTCACCCGTTGTTGACTCACAGACTTCAGCACTGAGGAAGACCAAGACTACGATGAGGAAGCACACCGCAAAGATTAGGAGTTATGCGAAGAGTCCAATTGTATGAGATGACATTGAAGCTAGGGTTTCAACCACGCTCAAGCTTGCCTATGGA